GAAGTGGGAGTTTGCTGCGAAGTGGAAGTTTGCTGCGAAGTGGGCGTTTGCTGCGAAGTGGGAGTTTGCTGCGAAGTGGGCGGTTGCTGCGAAGTGGGCGTTTGCTGCGAAGTGGGCGTTTGCTGCGAAGTGGGAGTTTGCTGCGAAGTGGGCGTTTGCTGCGAAGTGGGCGTTTGCTGCGAAGTGGGCGTTTGCTGCGAAGTGGGCGGTTGCTGCGAAGTGGGCGTTTGCTGCGGACTTTACGGTACTAGTGCTCACCTTATGATTATCTTTGATTCCTTCTTTGATTTCTTCTTTTCTGGCATTCTTCATGCACTCTGCACCCCAGCACTCCGAGTCTTTGTAAAATAAAATTCTTGAAGATTTTCGGTGGAAGGTAAAAATCGCTAAAATAAATCGCCGCTAACTGGTCCAGTTTGCTAAAACGCTAAATTTGGCCGCCGCGAAAGTTTGTCGTTTTACAGTATCCAAGACTCCAGGCGGCTATCCGTTGCGATAGGCGGTTGGAGTCACGGGTAGAGACAACCAGACGCTGGATTCCTCGGGGATGCATTCACTGTAAACTTGATGGAAACAGCGCTGGCGGCGTTCACTGGGTCCAGAATTAAAAATTTCTAAGAACTACCACGTTACCATGGTGATCAGCACGGTCAAGAGACACTACAGGTATGTCAGCTACAACCTAATTATATTCTTTCTACAACGACACCTACCTCTGGCTCAATACCTGACGATCTACTGCAAGCTGATGCGAAAGTGCATTACACCCGCGAACGCCGCGCTTGTCAACGGAACAGGGAAGTGCTTCACTCTCCAAAGTTGAAAAGTATTTGTATTTGGACTGCTGCTAATCGGGAGAACAAACGACCGCCACGGCGGCAGAACATTCCGCAGCTGTTCACCGACACGATCCGCTTCACCAAACGACTTACGAACGTTTCGTTCTCCGAGTTTTCTGGTGGCCGCAACAAGAATTCCGTCCGCAACGACAGGACGAAAGTCTCTAGCAACTGAAGTCCTGTTGCCACGAAGACAGAGAAGATTCCGCAAGTTATCTCTTCTGCTTCCAGTATTGTAGCTCTCCTGTCCACTGGCATATCTTTCAATCCCAGCGAACGAAAAAAGGATCTGCTTCTCTCTCCAAAACAACGAACAACTAACTAAGGGACCATCGCAAAAGTTCGCAGAAGCCCCCGAAACGAAGACCGTGAGTTTCGGGCCTGACCCCCCTCCCTCCCCCCTCAAACGAAACGACAGTCACAATATGGGCTTCATTATTTCACTTGGATGCTGCACACATAATAATTATTATAATATACTACACAGCAGGGGTTCATAAACCCTATGAACCCCTGCTAGTCCATAAACCACGCGTTTTATGGACTCTTGGTACTAGACTACACACAGTGTACAGGCAGCCAGCTACGCGACACGCGCAGTTGCATGAATGGACTACGCGTCCTGACAAGCGATCTACGCCGGCTGTGATGGCATGCTAATCTATATCAGCTCCTACATGTCGTCAATACTTTTTTGAATTGAAGCCCGATTTGCGATTTTCGACACGACTCCCTCCCCCTGCCCCCCCCCCCCCCAAACGTATGCTCTTCGTTTCAGGGGCTTCTGCGAACTTTTGCGATGGTCCCTAACTTTACTTCGCCAGTGTCCGGGCCGATCGTGTACATAGTGTATGCAGCGCATGCGGCGCACTTTCGCATGACATGACACGCATTTATGTGCAGCACGTTTGTACTTCGGATTTGGCAATTTTTCGACGGCAATGGCTTCCTTTAGGAGTTGTCTACCTACGATGTATACTTTGGAAAGCGGTAGTCGGTACAGAAAGTACCATAAACTCCAGGAAAAGTTGGCCTTTCGATTTTTTGAGCTGGAGGTAAAAAGTGCCTGGCATGGAGGGGTGTACTGCTCAGCTGACAGCCTGGCAGGGAGCGCCTTGTCACCTTGAGGGTTCAGCTGGCAGTGAAAGGGTTAATCAATTCTCTAGAGTACAGAATATAAGAAATCTGCAAGTAGTATTCAATTTCGCCAAACCATTACCTAGGGATAGTGATTTGAAGTGCAACAATTTCGGACTATCGCTAGAAACACAAATGAATGGGTGAAATGGGAGAAGCGAGAAAATTTCAAGACGACTGCACAGTACAGTATGGTGTACAGTGCACAAGTACAAAGCCTCATCACTCGAACTGAGCGGACCGTGCGCATATGGTATTGCTTATAACTTGGTATGCTGGCGCAAAACAATTGCTCATGGAGGAAGACGAAAGGGTCTCAACGCCTGGAAATGTCAAATGGCCAGAAGTTGTTCGACGCTGATGATGATGGCATAGTCTGCGGCACTGCGACCCGACCAGAACAAGCCAAAACTCATCACCTAAAAAAAACGCTTGTCGTATGGAAACGGGACTTTGGGTTTCAAACGGATGAACATCATTCTCTTCTCTCCGACAAAGCAATACACTTGCTGAAATATTCTAGAATTTGACGTAACCACGCCGAAAAACAATGCCAAGTCGGATTCTCCCATCTGAAGTATTGAAACTTGTTTTTCCACAGAATCAGGGTCTGGGTTCGAGGGAGTGAAGTCACAAATGACAATGGGTCCGTTTGATCCTATAATAGGGGATTCACACTCACGGGGAAACCTGAGGTCACGGGACAAGGTAAAAGTTTAGACCTTCGGTCAACGGAGTGGGGCCGTTCACACCCGTGGTCAGTTTTCCCTTGGCCGTGTGTTTGGCAATGGATTTGTGGTGGGGAAATTAAAAAATGATCTGTAACTGCATTTTTGTAGTACGTTCTGTGCACGATTTTCCGAGGGCACTGTCTGAAAATGCAGGTTGCGATGCACCCGTACAACTACGGGTTCAGAGTTCTCGCCAAAGACAAGATCTACACACGCGCATCGTATGGCGACGGGATTTTTCCCTTAACAAATGGCCTGAGGCCCACGGCCACGGCTTTGCCAATTTTTTCCCGAAAGGTTCTTCCTTTCCCCCAGTACCATAGTTTCCATAACAACTTTCCCATAACCGTGGTTTTACCCGTGTGTGTGTGTGAATCCCCTATAAGGTGAACTTAAGGAATACTAGTGATAACCACAAGTGCAAGCATTGTACATGAGAAAACACAACCAGGGGTATTAATAGGCCATTCACACGACGTGTAAACACTTGCACGTGTGTGACCAAGATAACACTGGCAAACCGTGATCCAGTTCACACGGTGCTGGGCAAACTTTACAACCGTCAATGTATCCCTAGTGACCTCTTGAAAATACCGGGAAATGTTAAATTTAAAATTTTCCGTTGTTCAAGCAATGCAAGTTTATTGTATCCGAGTAAATATCCTTGGAAACGGTACGATAAAAGTGAGTTTGGACGTCGTGTGAATGGCCTATAAACACCAGTGTGTGTAGTGCAGTATCTGGTGAAAAACATATTCACGGTCAACATGTGTCACTAGTGACACCAAAAACACCTACACGAGAGTGTAATAGTGATAGACATCTCATCAAGTGTACATAAACAAGAGTGCGCAACTCTCACATCTGCTCTGTTCCATGGGGGAGTTATTCGTCCATACAATGCATGCGCAAAACATGCGATGGGCACTGGACCTTCATTGCGAGTCTCTGTTTCGCCGTCTTGAAACCAACAATTTTTCGTACCAGACGATGGCAATTGTGACGAAACGTTGTACATAAAAGGAATCGGTTCGGTTTGCAGTGCTGTGGGAATGGGTGTGTCCACCCAACTACTCTCTTCAAATTTCTCTCCCTGTTAACCCTCTCAGTGCCATGAGCGACTTTAGTCGCCCAGAATGAGTATGTGTGTACAAATATTTTCGTATCTCCACTTCTACACACAGGAGAGTAACAAACGAGCACTCAACGTCTCCAGGAAGACCTACTTATCACATCGGTTTGTGTCCGTGAGGATAAACGTCGCCAGAATGCAGGAAATGGACATCGCTCAGGCGCCCTCTCGAGGAAGACTATTTTCGCTGCATTTTCTCTTCACAATGGTCTGCCTGACCTTGATATCTTTCCAGAGAGCCATCGTTTGTAAAGATCTGTGGATATACAGCTGAGCTATGAAAAATTTGAGTCCAGCTCAACTCAGAAAAATTTGTATTTTTCTGACCCCCTTGGCACTGAAATGGTTAATTAATAGCTTGTTATCAAACCCATAGCGCATTTCAATGAAACCCATCCAAGCCACTCACGTGCCCACAGACTCAAAGTTTCTGCCTTGCACAGTACTACAGTCAGACCTCGCATAACCGCACACATCCGTTTTCCACAAAAATATCCGGATAGGCGAGGAAACCGGATAATCAAACACGCACACTGTATGTATGCATGACATATGCTGTAAATCGGTAACCAACGATTTTCTTCCGGATGGCGAGGGATCCAGATAAAAGAGGACCGGATAAGCAAGGTCTGCCTGTACTAAACAGTACAGCATGTGCAGTGCAGAATCAGGTGGAACACATGTTCACGATCAACATGTGTAAATATTCACAATGTGAACGGCAACATGAGGGGTGTGATGGTGCCACACATCTCATCAAGAGTACATACCCCCAGAGTGTGCAACTGGGATAGGGTTGTGGGACGGCGTAATCCGTGATGTACGTCATTTTTGCGTCGGACTTGCCTCATTCCATCGTGGCGGTGCACCACGTCCACACTTCCTCTACTTATGATGTCATTATTATGACGTGCAACACAGATTTCGCCGTCCCAAATCTGATAAGTGAACTTGCGCACCCTGGAGGGTTATGTTCTCTTGATCTCATGGATAGCTATACAAATGTAGGACATGGTGGTGGTAGGTGCACCTCACGTGACTCACGTGACACCTAATCACTGCATAGTTCAACCAATCAAATGAACGACACGCTGTAATGAATACTGTATACACACAGTACATCTAAATTCAGTCACTCACAGTCAAGTCTATTCAACATACCTTCACACTCTCGTGCTCCAGCAGCAACTGCACACATCCCTCATGCTTCCTTTCCCTGGCTACGTCCAACGCTGTTTTCCCTTCCTGAGTAAATCAACAACACATCACAGGGACAACAGAAAAAAATATTCGTGAAAATTCGAATTTTACAAAAACGAAAACACGCTGACGAAGGGCAAGGACATAATCTACAACAAAACGAAATCAGTCTCTCCACAAGACGACTTACATGTACAGAACAAGTCTCTCCTTCCTCAGCAACATTGCTACTCCATGCATTCACAGGAAAAACTCCAGTTCATGCCTCGACAAATTTGAATATATTTTACAGATTTCTACTGGAACGAAAATATCCACGACGAAAGGAAGGCGTCCACAACGTCTGCTCCACGTCAGGAACAACTCCATGTCGTCTGTGTGCTCGTTACATTAACAAGAACCCTTCACTCCTCACTCGTTCCAACAAACACCATCAAACAGTCTACTCCTTCACACACTGATTTCGAAATTCTTCAAAAATCGAACAACAGAGTGAATATGACCACGTGGCTATAGTGTACGCATGATGTCATCGAGTACGGTATCGTACAACTGGTACACATTTCTGACAAGAGGAGAGGAGAGGACAGTTGTACAATTGTGGTAGTCGTGATATATATGAGAGAGAGAGAGAGCGAGGGGCAGAGAGAGAGAGGGAGAGGCAGGACAGGTGAGAAGGACGAGTAGAAACTGTTCACTTCACAACAACACACAATCAAATACTTACCCTGTCACGCAGTGTGGTATCCAACGTGACACCGTCACTGTCATGTGACAGCATCACCTTGACAACGTTGATCCTGTCATTGATGACTGCCCAGTGTAGTGGAGTCCGTCGCTGTAGTGTAGAGAAAGAGAGAATGTGATGAGTATTGCTATACAACCATTACACTAACTACTACAACCACACACCGACACAGACCTGGACAACTAGAACAAACACATCAACACACGCACACACGCTCACACACACTCGCGCGCACACACACACACACACGCACACAAACACACACACACACACAAACACACACACACACACACAAACACACACACACACAGTGACACACACGCACGCACACACACACACATGCACACATACGTACAGCTGTACAGACACACGTGGACAGATATGTACAAAGACACACATGGTTAACCAATGTACAGGATGATTGTCTCACAGACATACAGACAGACATGTAGGAACATACAAAGTGAGAATTCAGTTGAGACAACCAGACTCTAAACTATCACTAGTTCTTACCAAGCTGTCCTGCACATTGACATCAGCTCCTCGTGCGATGAGTATATTTGCTAGTCGATCTCTTCCAAGGATTGCACAGTAGTGCAGTAGTGTCCAGTTTTTCTGTACACACACACACACACGCACACACACACACACACACACACACACACACACACACACACACACACACATATGCACACACACACAGGCACATGCGCGCACGCACACGCACACACACACACACACACACACACACGTACACGTACACTCACACACACACACAGGCACATTCGCGCGCACGCACGCACGCTCACACACACACACACACACACACACTGGCACAAGCGTGCACGCACACACACACACACAGGCACATGCGCGAACGCACACACACACACACACACACACACACACACACACATACAAATACACACACATACACACGCACACACATGCACGCACACGCACACATGCGCACGCACACAACCACACACACATGACAGACACACACACACGTGACAGATACACAGTCAGTTGTACATCCCAATGACGCGAAGTCTTGGGGCATGTGGACAGACGGATACGTGGTACAGTGCAGGGATACAGAAACACAGGAGTAAAGCATCAGACAGACAGACAGACAGACAGACAGACAGACAGACAGACAGACAGATAGATAGACAGACAGACACACATACACACACACACACAGACAAAAAGAACAACCATTACACTGAACAGTGCTGAGTCTTGTAACAATCAAGAACACAACAACTTACGTAAGTTTCGTCTTGCTCATCCACCTCTACACTATGTACACTAAATATGTAGTGTACAATAGTGGACAGGATGTCATCACGAAGATGATAACCCTCCAAGCAGATCACAAAAAGGAGCATTGTCTGTGTGATATACAAAACAGAAAAAACGATTTGATTTACAAAAACGACAGCAACAATACTCTCAGTGCAATGCCATCAGGAGTTAGGAAACCTATTGATTGACCTCAGGGGTCAGTGATCCAAACCAGACAAATTGGCATAACTTGATTCCAGCTTGAGAGAAGCTTGCAGCAATTGCACATCTTGTAAAGTTATGTCACATCAACGATTCCCACTCGTCAACAATCACTTGACAATGGTACAGACGAGAAGACAGGGTGTCACAGAAAACTCCCCCCCCCCCCCCCACACACACACACTGTACAGCAACACTCTACTTACTCCCATTGAGTAGCAGCATGATGATGATGGTGGATTCCATGTCACTTTACGTGATGTGGAGGACAATTGCGACTGCTCAGGAGGCACAGCAGCCTGAAGACTTTCCAGTGTGGCATCTCTTCGCTGCACCTCCTGAGCAAACGTGTCGAACACAACTTGACTGGACATGTCTGTACAGGGACAATGTGTACGTAACACAGACAGACACACATACACAGACACACATACACACACACACACACACACACACACACACACACAGACAGACCCACAGACAGACACACATTATAATATAAGTCATGTACACGGAGCAATGGACAAACAGACCGTCACACATGGATGCACACACAGACACACAGACAGACGGACACATGGATGGACTGACACACAGACCGATAGAGAGACACAGACAGACAGATGGACAGATACACAGACACACAGACAGACAACAAGTACTCACATACTATGACATACACAATGATCCAAACAAGATTGATCTCACGTGTCAATACTTGTATCTACGCTGATGCGTACGCACACACGTACACACTCGTCATGACGTCATACCCAATGCCATATTTAGAGTGAAACAACCTTTGACCCCACGTCTACGGACATGCAGCTACGTCAGTCAGTGACTGTGTCAGTAGCTGAAAAAGGTGAAGACGATCAATGAACGACATCACGGGGACATCTTCACAACACACTGCAACACAATGCAATTTACGTGTCTCAGCAAAACCACAGAAATCACCGACAAATGTTACACCTCATTACTACAACTGCCTACGACAACTATCGACGAAAGAATACTGCTCTCCACTTCAAACAACACCAACTCTGTACAGTTGACAACCATGCAAGAAGAAAACGACAGTTCGAGGAAAGGTACGTCTCTACCCAAAATGAATGGAACAATTTCAACTTCAACTTTACAAGCACGAACAGTAACAACAGCAAACACTTGATATTCGAACAATCTCCATCGTCGATCGCAACCGGAAATACTCAGTATCCATCCTCCTGCTCGTCAGGTCTACCTTCGTTACAAAGAACTGAAAAGTACTTCGTCTACAAGACTCGGGTCAATCAGTAGGTCCCTGAATGACCGTCGCGTTGTGACACGGGACAAAGACAAAGATGGAGACCAACGACCAACGACCAACGAGACGACACTACTAACGAAAATATGGGAAGTAAACGAAAAGAAAGAGATGGAGTGCCACCATTTGTAACTTACATTCCTTGTTCGAGTAACGTTGATGACATTGAAAACGATCTGCCTTTCTCTACTTTCTCACCATATGTAGGAAACATGATGAACTTCTCTTGTCTATTGAGAGTTCTGAACATGGTCTAATCTAACTTGCTATATGGATAAAGTCACCGTTGAACTACTCATAGACGAACACGACTACAAGTGGCGAGTCTAAAGAGAAGAGATCAAGAAAGTCATCCTTGAACGTTGTCTTCAAGTAGCAGTGAAGAGTAAAGAAGAACCGTGGCGTGGAAGTGCGGAGGGCTTTGACCGGATGGTGCAGCAAAGAAGTAACTCACTGTTTGAACTTTGGACTTTGACCTGAACCGCTACCGAACGATCCACACATGGCCACAGCTGGATAGCCAGAACGATAACTACTTCTGAGTACCGGTACTTGTAACAGAACAGGGGAGTGAATGGAATGATCCAGTCGCTAACGGGAGCAAATATAAATGAACCCATTATGACAACCAGATCCGTGCAGTACCTAGCGGATTTGTACCAGGCATGTGCACACACGCTAGTTCTCAACCGTGTCACTCAGCCTGATGACCTAGCTCTGGAGTAGGCATAGTCAGTGGGCCAGTAACTTAGTCACAGTGTGCTATATCAGTGATACTAATGCAACATTGTAGGGGATTTTAAATAGACCTACAGCACATGATGTATTTTACTTACTGAGTGAATTGTCTGTTCCGTGAAATCTTTTTCAAACGTTGGCTGAGTGGACTGACTGGAATACGTAGGTCGCTGAGAGAAGGAGAGCGATATGCTGAACTTGGTATTCACTGGGAAAGCGTTATGCTGGACCTTTTACTCACTGAGAGAGCGTTATGCTAAACTTGTTATTCACTGGGAGAGCGTTGTGGCCACTACAGACTGGATTAGTAGTTGAGAGAATGAGTAACAATGACTGGAAAGGATAATGCACGACTAACAAAGGTAGGTATGAACTATTCAACAACACTAGAGGACGTTTACAAGATATGAGAAAGGGACGGAGACGAAAACGAACAACTAACAATTGACTGTGCCGTGCGAAATGGACGACTGAGCGGTGCAGATAAAATAACGATGTAATCTAATGTTTGAACGAATCGTGCTTTACATGCATGTGGTAAATGGCAAGAGATGCAGCTCACTGTCTGGCAGACCACGGTCCGGACGGCAGTCTACTTACACATACTAATTCTGCCTTAGCTTTGTGCCTGTGTGTAGGGTGTTCGGACGATTTTGAAAGTTGCTCCAATCTCCTCGATTTTAGTCTCATTGGAAAGAGTAGGATAAACTAGCCGGGAAATATATGAGGTTTGTCTAAATCCGACCAGACGTTCAAGAGTTATGATCTTTTGAAGTGCGCTTGTTGGCACTTTTTCTGGAACAGTTTTGATGCAGGCCAGTGGCACAAAACCGGGAAATTCAAAACCAACTAGAACAAGGTGAAAATCAATTTCGTTCAGGGTCTTTCAAATTTCCACAGATGATAGCCAATAGAGAGCTTCCATCACTTGACCAATTTTTTTGGTATTCCAATTAGCCAAATTCAAATTACGCCCATAGCAACCACCATAGCAACGCGTACAAATTAGTCGAAATAGATGCGAAAGATGTAACCCTTCACAGGCTGAAGCTAATTGGAATACGGGTACTTCAAAGACACATCACCAGGAGGAGATTACAGGTATCTACCCCATGTAGATGAAGCATCCAAGAAAATAACATACTCACTCAGCCGAGACGGCACCCGCACCCGGGCATGTTGCGCCGCGGGACCGGATGCATGCAGCCAATTAACAGGTATGCTGCACCATTTCAACACGATGTAAGCTTCAGCCAGGCCAAGGCAGCAGCAGTCCTGCTAATCATCAGCTTTAGAAGGACAACTTGCTCCCAGTCATATACGGCGCGTGCAGCACTTCGGGGCAATTGGTGTCGCACGTCACATGTAATTCATTCATACGATTCGCACAACCAACAGACAGTTCATTTATCGGATGATTGTGCAAGCGTAATTTGGATGTAAATTATAAAGTCGACAAATACACTGGTCCTACATTGCCCATGCTATGTGGATGACAATGTACTCCAGACACGGTGCATACGGCATTGCGTAGCTGCACTGCGTTAGCACGCTGCAATTTTGCAAATCCTCTGACTCTGAGTGTCAATTCTGTGCAGATTTTCAGCTGCATATTGAACGCAGTATTGGCAGGAAATCTGCTCTTGATTATTTGTCTGCACAATGGCTTTCTCCACTCTCCAGATACAGCGACCAGAGATTTATCTGATGTGGTAGCTCAGCGAAACTACAAATAAACAGCACTACAGCCAAGTCCATCAACTCCATGTACATGTACATGTACTCCATACATTTGGTATCCTGGCGCAAATCGATCGCTCATAGAACAAGAAGACAGCATCGTACAGCCTCCAAATTTCACACACTGCGTAGTTTTTCGACGCTGAAGACGATGGAATAGTCGCCGGCGTTGCGACCGGCCCAGAACAGGTCGAAATCGATACCCTGAAGTTGCGCAGGGCGTAACATTGCTAAAATTCGTCGTGTGGAAACGGGACTTACGGTCTCAACAGCAGAGACATCTCCTCTTTCCAACAAAGAAACAAACTCGTCCTGAGCTGCTAAAATTTTACCTTGCCAAGGCAAGAAGCACAGTGATGTACGATTGTGCCACGGACCCCGTACAAAACTGTTTCCACTCAAAATGCGCCTGGGTTCGAGGCACCGAACACCCTACTGTGTGCCTTAGCGAGACCTCCGACATCTCGTGTTTGCAGCACTACCAGAGTGCGTATGTCAGTGTGCTGTCACGTGATATGCTACACGTCTGCACGATGTCGTCCCGCTCTGCACAGACCGAGACCATAAAAGGTGTTGTTGACATTGGTGACAAGAATCACATTCACACATGTAGACTACACACATAATGAGGGACCTACCCCACTACCCCATTACCTCATAACAACACTACATGCAACCAATCACCATTCAATGCTACGCTCTTCTCATCAAATATGGACAAAGAGCTGATGACATCATGTCTTAGGGTACAGTCCCATACAGACCAGGGTGGTGTCGGTGTTGTCAATCTGATTGTCGTAAAATTAGATCAATTTTTATAACTGGTTGTTGCCAAACGTGGTCGTAGATAAACAGGTCTAATAGACTAGGACGATCGTGTAGGAGTGAAATGGTGTTTTGGAGTGCCGTTGCTGCTGCTGTTGTTATTCTTGTTTCAAATCTTTATTCTCACGATACTACGGCCAGTTGTTGAATTATTCTCACGATGGCACCATCGCCAATAAGATCGTTGTTTGAATTCTTTATTCTCACGATGGCACCATCGCCAATAAGAGATAGATTTATGAGAAGGTGAGATTGTGGGTTAAACAGTTGGAAAGTGATTTACATCACTTTGAACTTTACAAGTATGGGAGAGGGTGAGCGCTGCAGGAGCAGATTGAGTTGATCAGCAGTGAGCAGATTTCTTGTTTGAAAGCAGGTCGGGAGGAGACGTCACGAATGCTAGCAGGGAGGGCATTGTAGCATTCTGGGGACTTGTACAGTGGGGAGTCTTTACAGCGATCGGTTCTGGAGGGTGGGATGTGCCAAGTGCGTGCGTGTCGAAGGCTGTACTGAGCTGTAATTTGAGCGGGGGTGTTGAGCATGCGTATGTGTTGTGGGGCATATTGGTATTTTATGGAGTGAGCAAGAG